GCGATCTACCCTGGAGAACGTTCATCCTTTGAATTCAAATTAAAATACCTTTTTTAAAATTAATTTTTATTGGAGCATAGTTGCTTTACAATGTCGTGTTAGTTTCCACCGTACAGCAAAACGAATCAGCCATACATATACATATATCCCCTCCCTTCTGCACTTCCTTCCCGTTCGGGTCACCACAGTGCATTAAGTAGAGTTCCCTGTGCTGTGCGGTAGGTTCTCAATACGTACTTTTCCACAAGTGAAGTCTTATTCCTACACACACGAAACTCCTCCACGCCCGTTGCCCTTCCTCACTGGGGCGCCGGAGTGCGGGTCAGCCTCGGACCCACCCGCCGCAGCGCCCAGTGTTTTCACCCTCTACCGCTTGCTGTCAGTGGTGCGAATCCCAGCTCTGCTGCCACAACTGGGAGACCGTGGGCATGTTACTCACCCCCCTCTGAGACGTGGAGACAGCAGGGTATCCCTCTCGTCGGGCTGCTATGTGCATTTGGCGAGATAGGTGTGTAAATTCTCACCCTGCGCGGTAAGCACTCAGTAAATGGTAGCTCTTTTTATTATTTTATTTATAATTTATTTATTACAAGCTCAAACAAGTCTTGCTCATGAGATCACCCAGAAAACAGTCTGATCCATCTCTCCTGATAGAGGTTCAGGGAGGGGATCCCGGGACCTGGGGTTGCAATGAAGAAAACTCAGGAAAACATCTCCCAAGACGAGGTGGAGGTGTGGCTAGATGCGGGCTCCGCCTCCTGGGCTTAGGATCACGCAGGTCGTTGCCCCCAGGCAGCGGTAACATGACGGTCAGGGGGTCTCGCACACAGGTGAGAAGGTCTGGTGGGGGAGGAGAGGCAGAGACCACGCCCACACCCAGGCCACCCACGGGCCAGGCTACTTCTCCGGGAGAGCCTTTGGTCAGAAGCGGGGAGAAGGGTGATGCTGTGGGAAGGCAGGGGGCCCAGGACTGGAAAACCCAAGGGGAGGGAAGGACAGATCAATTTTGTGCTGTGTTGAGCCAGTTTCCTCAGAGGTAGGCCCTAAGAAAAAGGCACTAGAGAAAGTAGCTTATCTGGGACGTGACTCCAGATGGCCCTGGCAGGGAGCTGGGGAAGTGAGACAGGAAGGGAAGGACACTGTAGAGGGTGTTGTATCCAACAGGTTGCTGTGGGTGAATGAAGCCCGATGCCCCTGCAGGACTCTGGGCAGCAGAGCGGGGCACACCTCAGGGCTGACCCGCTGTACCAGTCAGCTTGGGCTGCATAGCCAAGTACACAGGCGGGGTGGCTGAAACCACCGGAATGCATTGTCTCCCGTCCTGGGCTGGAAGCCTGAGACCGAGGTGTCAGCAGGGCCAGGCTTCCTTGTAAGGTACTGAGCAGGGAGCAAGGAGCCTCTCTCTCTCTAGCTTCTGGTAGTTCCATAGCTTGCGGCAGGGTAGCTCCTGTCTTTCCGTGACATTCTCTGTGTGTGTCTCTGTGTTCAAATGTCCCCTTTTTAGAAGGACACCAGTCATATTGGATCGGGGCCCACCCTACTGACCTCGTTTTAACTAATTACACCTGCAACCCATTTCCAAGTCCGCTCATATTCTGAGGTACGGCGGGTGGTTAGTACTTCATATGAATTTGCGGGGACATAATTCCATCACCCGTCTAGGAATGAGAAAGCTAAAGTATTATCCTCACACTCTCAACCATACTAGCTGAGGACTGTTCCTGAGGGCAGGAACTCCCTGGCTGTCCCAGCCTGCCCCCGGATGGGCCAAGAGAAAGCCCTCAGGTGGGGTGTCACAGGATCTTGTGATAGAACACGAAGAGTATGTCCTAGAATGGTGAGTGTCTGCTATTTTCTACTCCAGGAAACCTGTAAGAGAGGAGTGGGAATAGATTGCTTCTGCCTAAGGTGCTACATTGAAAAGGTACTGAGGCCAAGACCATGATTGATTGTTGATGTCTGCCATGGGCAGTGGAGTACCAAGAGGCAGCATGCATGCCATGTGTTTGCCATTTCTTCTGCCAGGTATAAATAAATGGGTTTTTTCCTGCTTTGTAGGAACTAAGGATCTGGAATTTGAGCAGGACAGGCATGCCTCATTTTATTATGCTTTGCCTCATTGGGCTTTTCAGATACGGGATTTTTTACAAATTGAAGGTTTGTGGCAATCCAGTGTCAAGCAAGTCTATCGGTGCCAGTTTTCCAAAAGCATTTACTCACTTCGTGTGTCACATTTTGGTAATTCTTGAAATACTTCAAACATTTGCCTTATTACTATATGTTTCTGTGATCAGTGATCTATGATGTTACTGTTACAATAAAATTTCGACTTGTTGAAGGCTCAGATGATGGTTAGCATTTTTTAGCAATAGAGCATTTTTTAATTAGGATACGTACCTTGTTTATTTAGACACAATGCCATCGCACACTTAATAGACTACAATATGGTATAAATACAACTTTAATATGTACTCGCGAACGAAAAATTTTGTGTGACTCGCTTTATTGCGGTGGTCTGGAACTGAACCCACCATATCCCCCAGGTGTGCCTGTAATTTGAGGTGTGGATCTGGGCAGACAGGAAGAAGCCTGATTGCCAGGAGGTGCTGGAAGAGCTGAAGGACTAAAGCTACTGAAAGCTCAGACATAAAGCTCCAGCCAGTGCTCATTGAAACCTGATTTCTCCAAGCTCTTTATCTGGCCTCAAGTTCACACCCCCTTAGAAATGCCCTGGTAAACAGACCTCGAAGTTGACCTGTGGCCAATGCCCACAACAGGCAAGATGCCGAGCATGTTCACAGAGCTCAGTGTCCCCTTTCCCTGCGACTTAGGGCTGATCCTGAAATGACTATTGGCCAAGCCTGGATCCCTATGATGGGTTAGGAAACAGCTTCTGAATTCTGTCTTTCCAACAACAAAGGGCTGCTGGGTAAGGACCTGAGGACTGGGATGAGGCAGGGAAGGCAGTCCAGGTAGACAGAACAACGTGTGCAAAGCTGGAAGGGGAGAGAACCTCACTCAGGGCAGTTCTGGGAGTTAGAGCAGAATGTGAAGTGGGGACAGTACCTGATGAGGTTGGCAAGGTCACCCTCATGTCAGGCCTCAGATCATTCAAGGCCATATAAGCCACATGAAATACTTCGGGCTTTATCCTGAGCTCAACAGGGACCATAGACCATTTAATCAGGGGAAATACCCACTTATTTCTCCATCAGGGTGCGTTCCTCAACCTTCCCAGCCTGGAGAGAAAGTAACCCTTTCTTCATCTATCTGTACTCTGGGACAGGTCAAGGTTGAGCTGAAAGGCTCAGGAAACAGGAAACAGGAAGATGCTGACATCCCAGCTCCTGTAGGGTCATTAAGAAATATCACAAACAACCTGGCAGAAAGATGCTGTGATGGGATTTTGGTTCCACAGAAACAGCATACATCCGTAAAGGAATCCTGCCATGGGGGTATGCTAGCAGGAAGCAGCAGGGCGAATGGGGCCTGCCCACAGGGAGGAGACCGGGCGGATGCTGTCAGAGCAGCAAACCCCTTCTAGACAGGTGGCCTCCCTACCTGGCATCCTTTTCAGGACAGGTAGATAGCATCGCCCGCATTTTATAAAGGAGGAAGCCAAGGCCCAGAGACGTGTGCCCCAAAACACACAACTGGTAAGAGACAAACCCAGGCCTGTCTAATCCCCAAATCTATCCTGTTTCCTGACTTCACATGCTTTTTGCTGCCTGACTTTTTTAAGACAAAGACCACATGCACTGCCCCTGCTGCTCAGCCCTTGCGTTTGCATCTTCCTGTGGGACTTGTCTATAACGGGAGGTGATGTGTTGCATTGGCTGAGAAAGGGACTCCAGCAGCCCCAGAATTACAGACATTGAGCTTAGCATCATCAAGGAGAAAAGTGCCTCCCTCTCCCCGGTTCCCGTAGATCCATCCCAGGAAAAATTCTGATTGGCCTTGCTTGGGTCACCTGCTCCCTCCTGAACCAATCACAAGGAACCACAGTGCTCTGATTGGTCAGCCCCTTTTGACAGGTTGGGGTACCATGAAGGGAGTTCTCCCATTCAAGACCACAGGTACATGTTTAATCTTGATTTGGAGGGTCAGGGAAAACTTCCCAGAGGAAGTGACTTCTACACTGAGACTTGAAGGGTGAGTAGGAGTGTTCCAGGCAAAGAGGCAGAGGAGCAGTGTTCACACAGAGGGACTAGCAATACCAAAGGCCCAGGGCTCCAGGGCACATCTTGCTCACAGCCATATCTCCATTCCTAGAGCATGCACAGCCTGCCTTCCAATCAGTGCTCAGAGAATGCTTCAGGAATACAATCCACCATTGGTGTGTGACCTTAGACAAGTCACTTGCCCTCCCTGAACTTCAGCTTCCTTCTCTACCTGGTGCTTTCATCTTCCTAACCTTCCAGGACTACGCAGGAATCCAATTCATTCAGTCCTCAAATATCTACCAAGCACCTCCTCAGCGCTCAGCACTGTACCAAGCCTGCAGAAGACAAGGCCTGCTGTGGAAAAGCAAAGCGTGCCTGGGGCTAACGCACAGGGCCAGACCTGAAGCCAGAAATCAGAAGTGGTCCAGGGGGAAGGACAGGAAAAATGGGGAGGCTCATGGACAGTGAGGGTGGACCATGGTCTCTCTGGTCAGGTCGGAGTGGGGCAGTTTTCAGCCATTCGTGCCTTCCACTGCCTACCTCCCCACCTCCATCTCCTACTTCCCACCCTCCACCCTCCCCCCTCCCCCCTCCACCTACCTTGTGACCCAGTTTTGCCCTGGGGCCACCGAGTCTGTGCCCGGGCCAGTCAAGCCAGCAGGCGGGGCAGCAGGATTTTTCTTCCTGTGCCTTTGCCTCACAATTTCGTAACCTGAATAACAGGTTGAAGTAACCCTAGAAACAAGGAGGAAGGAAACTGTTTGGGGTTTGGGTAGCTGCAGAGAGAATTGTTGCCCCACCTGCATACCTGTCCCAGGTGCCTTTCTCCCTCCTGCTCCACCTTCAGATCCAGCTCCAGAGCCCCCGCTGGCTGCCAGGGTGAGCGGGCTGGGGACTCAGGAGCCCAGCGAGCTCTGCAAGGGCTGAGGGGGTCACCGGGACTTGGCCAGAAGGGACGTCAGGCCAGAAAAGCCCTCACCGCCCCCGCCCCTAAAGCCAGGAGCCCTGCTTGGCAAGGGCACCACGCGAGAGGCTAGCCCCCTGCCTGGGTATGTGCCCCCATCCTGTCTCTCTACTCCCTCTCTCTGAAGCCAGGTGTAAGCCTGTCATGAGGACTTGTTCTCTGTCCCTCTCGTCCTCTGTTCCTGTCTCTCTGCTCTGTCTTCTTTCTCTCTTTCTGTCTCTGTACCTCTGCCATGTGCCTCTCCCCCTTGTCCTTGTTTTTGTCTCTGTCTCCGTGACACTCTCTCCATGAATATCCATGTCTGTCCATTCATCTGTCACACCCTGTGCCTGTCTTTCCATCCTGTTCAGCCCTCGGGTCTCCTGGCTTCTCCTCACATGGGGGACCCCACAGGATGTCCTTTAAGCCTCATCCAGAGGCCTGGGCTCCTGGACTACTGTAGGTCACATCCTGAGAACATTCAAGAGCACAGTATATTTTTGTATCTAAAAAAATGTTGGTAATACGAATTTCAGAAATTTAAAGTTCTACAAAATCCCTGTGGGTGGGGCCAGTTGATAGCTCAGCTTCCTCCCCTGGAAGGTCCTAGAGGGGTAGGGCCAGGGTGGATGGGGGGAATTTCATCCTTCTCAGATAGAAACGTGGGTTTGCCTTTGCTGTTGCTGTTGTTGAAATGCCAAGGACTGACCCAGCCCGACTGCCTCGGTGCCGGGTGTTGTCCAGGTCTTTTGTCTCCTGTCTGGATCCTTGGCAGTTGGGCTTTGGACACAATGTCTGCTGAGATGGATTCTTAGGTTAAAGAGGATTCTGGGGTGGAGGTGCAGGAAGAGTGGTGGAAGCAAGTCACTGCAGTCAGAGACCCTCCAGATGGCTACGGGGGGTGTCTGAGACCCAGGACAGCGACCACTAGCCCCGCCCTCCCCTCTTCGGAGACTCCAGAGACCTCCCGAGGGTTTTCAGCGCTGCCAAGTCACTGGTACCTGGGGGGGTGGCACAGTGGAGCGGTGGGACTGAGGCTGACCCTACCCCGGCCCAGGACTCAGGAAGGGAGGAAACTTCGGTTTCAACTCTCCTCTGAGACAAAAGACACTGGCAGTGCTTCCCTGTGGGGATTGGGCAGCCAAGACTTCCATCCAAATTCTGCCCCTGACCCTTGCAAGCTGAATGACTGTGGGCCTAACAGTGGTGAGTCTTAGCTTACTTATCCCTAAAGTGGGGAGCTATGAGGATTAAAGGTGATAGTGCATGTATGGCACCTGGCACAAGCTCACCTGTGCTATGTGGGTCCCTATTACTCTTAATTTTGGTCCATCAGCAAAGATCACTTGAGCTTCTGCTCCCTAACGGTTTCACTGGGGCTGGCCAGCTCAATGTCTCTCAGCTGGCTGGAGGACAGAACGATGGATAGATGCATGGGTAGATGGATGGATGGATGGATGGTTGGATGGATGGATGGACGGACGGACGGACGGATGGACAAGTGGATGGATAGATGGACAAATGGTTGGATGGATGGATGGAAGGACGGATGGACGGACGGACAAGTGGATGGATAGATGGACAAATGGATGGATGGATGGATGGAAACTGAAAGGACTGCGATCCCCTCAGTTTTAGGTACCCTTTCCTCATCTTCAGTCTTGTTCACTTTCAGACCCTAGATACCAGTTTCCCATTTTATTTTCTTCTCTCCGCAGGAACACTGACCCCAAACCACTCTTCACCTGGACACAATGAGAGTGTCAGGTAGGGCCAAGCTCTGAGGATTCTAAGCCTCAAGGTTGAGGTCTGAAACTGGTTTTGGAAACCATTTTCTGCCAGCAGGGTCTGCCCATCCTGGACTCAGAGGTTACTTGGTTTTATTTATTCTCAACTGGTCAGGCCAGAATTCCAGGAGGAAACCAATACAGGGAGAGCTTGGAAGAGTATAAGAGGTGACTTCCTGCCTCAAGGCTGAAGGACTACAGAAACTTCGGCACCATGGCCCCACCTGGCTGGGATCATGGAGATTCATCCTATCTTGGAAACACTTCACTGTGGTTGGCAATTACAGACAAAATATTTTCCTCAAGGAGGGCTATTCTAGAATCCTCAAACCACAGGGCTGGGCACAAGGAGAGGCCTTTGCCTTTTGGTCTACACCTCATACTGTACCCTCTTTATACAGGTAGGGAAACTGAGGCACCAAATAGGAAACTGACACAATTCATTTATATTTTCAAACACCAGGAGAAAGGTGAGAGCGAGTTTTATTTATTTATTTTTATTGAAGTATAGTTGATTTACAATGTTGTGTCAATTTCTGCTGTACAGCAACATGATTCAGTTATACATATATACATTCTTTTTTATATTCTTTTCCATTGTGGTTTATCACAGGATATTAAATATAGTTCCCTGAAGAGCATGAATTTTTTTTTTTTTAAGATTTATTTATTTGTTGCACTGGGTCTTAGTTGCGGCTTGCAGGCTCCTTAGTTGAGGCTCACCAGCTCCTTAGTTGTGGCATGCGTGTGGGATCTAGTTCCCCGACCAGGGATCGAACCAGGGCCCCCTGCATTGGGAGTGTGGAGTCTTATCCACTGCACCACCAGGGAAGTCCCAAGCACGAGTTTTAGAGTCAGCTTACTTCCCCGGGTTCAGGTCCCCCCTGTCACTTACTAGCCTAGTGACCAGCTCTCCCAGCTGCAGTTTCCTCATCTGTACAACGGGGGTAATCAATAGCGTACAACACAGAGGGTTACTTCCAGGATGAACTGAAATAATGTGTGCAGATGCCGTTCGCCCAGCACCCGACACAAGATGAGTGCCGTATAATGTGAGCCGATGCCCTAGAAGACGAGGACCCCACAGACCTGACCCCACCCCATGGGATCCAGGGGGCTTTCTCCCCCACCGCAGTAGCTTGAGGCCAGCAGGAGGCCACAGCTGAATTCAGGGCTGAGGAGCAAGGGTGGTGCAGAGAGGGAGGTCACACGAGATCCGGCATGTTTAGGGTGGTATGGCCATAGATGGAGAGGGAGGTCAGGCAAGGAGCAAGGGAACTTGGCCTGATGGTTACATTTGATTCCCAAGGCTGTGGGACCACCAGCGTCCTTGAGGCGGGAGGTGTGGTGCAGCCTTCCCGGAAGAGTGAGGAAAGGGAGAGCAGCCGGGGGCTCTGGTGGTCCATCATGTGTGTAGAGTTGCTCCTCAGTGATGCATGGGGGCATGGGGAGCAATATGGCTGTGAGGCAGGGGAGGCCGCGTCGGCTAGGCTGGTGTGTGTTCCTACAGAGAGCACTGTGTGCTATTTGTGGTGGCTTTCAGGGGGAGTGGATGGCAAATACAGGAGACCAACCCCACCCCCCAAGCCACCCTGGAGGCTGCCTAGTGGTGACAACAAGCCACGGGCTCAGCAGCAAGGGCATCACCCTGTCTACTCTGTGACTGAGGAACTCCAGCTCAGAGGTGCTGAGACCCTGCCTGCGGTCACACAGTGGCAGGTGGCCGCCCTGAGCCTTCCTGCCTCCCATGCCGGGGCTCACCTGCCTCCTGCTCTCCTGCCGCAGTTCTCAGGCCTCCCCTCAGCATGCTGATTCCCAGGCCTCACCCCAGAGATGCTCTCTGGAGCGCTAAGTGGAACCTAGGAAGGTGCATTTCTAACCCTCCCTCCCAGCGGCCCTACTTTGGGGAACACTGCCATGTAACCTTGCAGCATGGTCATCACGTAGGCTCACGCTAGCCCCGCCATGCAGTCCGTGGACTGGTCCACAGTGTGGGCAGGGTCTGGACCTACAGGATGTGGTCTCACTGAGGGGATTTGGGAAGGACCCACATGTAGTCTTGCTGCCTGGCCTTGCAATGCGGTCTGGTGCTGTGGTCTCATGGCAGCATCTCCTTGCTCTGCAGGTCTGCTTCACCTCCTGGTCCTCATTTTTGGCCTGGTCACCACATGGGTCTTCGTCCGCAGATATATCAACTTCAACATGAAAACCATCCTCCTGGGTGAGTGGAGCTCGCTACTGGGGCAAGGCCTATGGACCAGGGCTAGGGGCAAAGGATCTATTCCATCCCTGGGTGACCCAGGAGGTGGCCAGCCATGACAAGGTGAGGACTGCCTTTGGGACCCGAGGCATTCGGCGTGGGAGAAGAGGAACCCCCAGGCTGTCCGGAAGGCTGGGAGCCCATGGGGGCCAGAGAAGTGTCCCAAGGCCCTGGCCAGAACATATGCCTGCATCAAGGGCCATTTTGGAAACGTGACCCAAGAAGGAAGGACAGAGGGAAGAAGAAAAGAAGGGAGGGAGAAAATTGCCCAGACCTTGAGTGCCTTCCACCTGTACTTGCTGTTCCCTCAGCCTGGAACCCTCTTCACTCAGACCTCCCTGTGGCCAGCCCCTTCTCATCCTTCAAGCCTCTGCTCAAATGTTACCACCTCAGAGAGGCCTTCCTTTACCATGCCAGCTATACTTGCACCCGCTTTTCTTAGTTTAGAGTCTTTCATGTCAGCCTATTCCCTTCAGAACATCATTATCACCCATCATTAGGTTGTTTATTTATTCGTTTACTTGGTTGTTGCCCAACCCCATCCCATAGAATGTGAGCTTCCTGAAGGCAGGAAACATTTGATAAGTGAAAGAAAGAGGGATGGATTGGGGGATGGCTAGATGGATGATGGGTGGATGGATGGATGATGGGAGGATAGATGGATGATGGGTGGATGGATGGATGATGGGAGGATAGGTGGATGATGGGTGGATGGATGGATGATGGGAGGATAGGTGGATGATGGGTGGATGGATGGATGATGGGTGGATGGATGGATGATGGATGGATGGATGGATGATGGGTGGATGGATGGTGGATGGGTGGATGGATGGTGGATGGGTGATGGATGCTAGCTGCTCTACATGCATGGTCTCATTTAATCTGCACAAATGACCTAGGGGGTGATTCATGGTATGTTTGTGGAGTGGGCTCATGCATGACCTCATGTTGTGGTTTTATGTGTGGTCCGAGAAAAAGAGAAGCTCAGGGAAATTGAGAAACTTACCCAGATGTCCCTTGTAGATGTCAGAACGGGAATGAGAACACAGGTCTCCCAGATCCAAATCCTTTCAAAGGAAGGAGAGAAAGGGAAGGAATTTCTACCTCTGGATTCGTCCTCCTTAAAGACCAAGAACCACCTCCATCAACATAATCAAACATAATAACCTCTAGTGGCCCAGACCAGCTCATGGCTTCACAGCAGTGAGAAGCCAATCACCCTGCCTTTAACACAAACTCCCCACAGTGGAATCTCAGAGGGCCCTTACCTCATGTGCTTCTTGTCGAGCATGGCCCGCACCCAGGTCAGGATGATTTATATGGATACATATCTTAGGCCCTACTTTTACAGACTAGAGATTGACTTGGCTGTGCTGCTGGACTCGGAGGAGATGTGCCAGATGAGCTCAGGAGGCTCAGAGCCGGAGGCGAGCTCAGGAGTAAGCTCTAGAGAAGACAGCCTCAGCTTGGGGCGGGAGAGGGGAGTAATTGAAAGGAGCCCCAGATGTTTCCCTCTCAGAACTCAACCACCTGGGGTCTGACAAATCAACACTCCCCCCAACGATCATCAAGCAACTGTTCTGTGTTAGGTCCCAAAGACCCCAGAACGAGGAACACGTGGCCCCAGCTCCAGTCACGTGAGTTAGTTCACATGTCTGGCGTACGTTGTCACATGCAGCTCGCCTTCCATCTCCTATTGCTGACGACCCTTCAGCTCGACCATCTCCCACCTCCTCTCCCTCCTCCAGTCATAACTCTTCTTGCCTGTTCACTCGATGCCGGCCCCTGGATGCCAGCTGTTGTACTGCACTACTGTACTTTTCAAGGCACTGTCCTGTAAGACTAAAAATGTTTTCTTTATTTTTTTGTGTTTATGTGTTTGTGTTTTATGTATTATTTGAGTGAAAAGTATTATAAACCTATTACAGTACAGTACCACAGAGCCGATGGTGTTGGGTACCTGGGCTAACTTTGTTGGACGTACGAACAGATTGGACTCAGGAATGTGCTCTCGGAATGGAACTCATTCATATGTAGGGGACTTACTGTATAGAATATACAAAAATGGAAGTGCATTAACATGACCCGAGTCTTGCAAAATGCTCACAGTGGCAGGAAATGTAACCAGTGGGGAAAGCAGCCATCCAAAACCACTAGTGTGCTCGGGCACGGAAAGGGAAACCTTCATCTACTTCAAACATTCCTGACCTGGTTGCATGCACCCCACCTGATGATTTAATGCATTAATATGGAAGCACATATATTACTACAGCACAGAATGTTCTAATGTTTTTATTATTATCTTGATACATAGTTGGTTTCCTTTTTAATCCAATCTATTTTATTTTATGCATTTAATAACTTGCCATCTGGTAGAGTAGGAAGTGCTGAGTGTCTCAAGAGAAGTGGGAATAAATTTCCTGTAAGGGGAGTTCATAGGCTTTTCCAAATCACCAGAGGGGTCCATGGCACGGAAGTCAGGTGATTAAGGAGCTTCTGATTTACCTAATAAATTGGGCAGGCTTCTTTCGGACGGGAGTGACAAACCCAACTCTTAGCGGTTTAAGCAAAATGGGGTGTCTTTTGAGTCAGGTCATTGGGAAGCCCATGGCATCAGACTTTAGGTGTGGCTGGATCTAGGGGCCCCGACAAAGGCCTCAGAGTCTGTCTCTGTGTCCCTGGGCTCTGCTCCTTGCTGTTTAACCTCATTCCATGGGCAGCTTTCTCTCCCAGGCAGGCATGGTGGCTACCAGCTCTCTGGATGTTCACCTTGCAGCTCAGCTGCAAGATGCTTCTCTCTCCCCCAGGGCCACATATCAACCCCTAGAAGGGCTCCATCTCCAGACGAATGTAATGCTATAACTGGCTCAGCCTGGGATACGTGATACCCCTCGGGCCTTGGAGGCAAGGGTAGGGGGACAGCTTCTCAAGGACCAAACGGAAAGTGTGTCAGTGTGGGTGTCCCCCAAAAAGGAGCGTTTCCCCGCTCCCCGCCGGCATTTCTGTGTCCCCTGGGGGCCCTGTCCTCTAGGACTTAGCGCTCAGCTGGTGGGAGACTGGACGTAGAACCGCAGAAATAAGCAGGACGCAGCACAGCTAAGACGTGAAACCTGTTCAGATGTTTGGAGCTGCGGGAGTCGGGAAGGGATGCTCCGGGCCCGAAAAGTGACAGCCACACCATCCTGTCCTTCCTGGGGGCCAGGGCTCTCGGCGCCTCTCACTGGCTCTTCTCCACAGCCAGCGAGAGTGGGTGTGATGGCCCCCACTGCGCAAGCGAGGAGGCCGAGCCCCAGAGGAGAAAACTCACACGTGGTCACACACGGTCAGGCTCCAAGTTCAGTGGGCCTCACAACAGAGGTCTGCTTCTTTTTAACCATGAGAGAGTCTTCTGTGTGCGTGCATGTGTGTGCACGTGCACGCACATGTGTGTCTGCACGTGTGTAAGTGTATACGTCTGTGTGCATGTGTGCACGCTTTGTGTGTATGTGCGTGTGTGTGTGTGTGTTTGCACGTGAGAGAGAGAAATGGTGACAGTGGCAAATTAGGGAGGACTTCCAGACCAGATGGGACTTTCAACTCATTTCAACCCCTGCCACGGGACAGGGACTGTGCCTGGCCAGGCCAACACCTCCCTGAATTCCCTTCTTCCCACTCCCCAGCCCCCAGCCTCCACCCTGTGCAGGGGCCCAAATCCCTTTCTAACCAGATCCTGTCTTCTCTCCAACAGGTTCAGTCTACAAGGAGAACCGTGAGTGTCGACTCAGCCCCGTTTCCCTTAGGCTGAGGTGTTCCAGAGTCTCTAGTCCCAGCCCTGCAGGTTCTAGAAAAACCTTGGTTCCCAGAGTCTGCCCAGCTCACTCTTTGCATGGCCTGATGGAACCTTCCAAAGCCCCCAGCCCTGTGGCCCCTTCTCAGCCATTCGGACTCATAGCGGGGGCTCAACTGTCTCCCTTCCCCAGCACCCCCAGCCTGCAGTCTGGACTGCACCCACCCTGCCCCCCTCTTTCATCCCCTGACCCAGCTGGGAGCCCCAAGGATGCGGGCTGTGCTTATTATCATTTCAGTGACCCCAGAATTGGCTTATGTTTCCTGCTCCAAAGTACCAGGGCCATGTTGAGCACCGCAGGGGCCCCCAGAGGCAAACAGAAGGGGGTGCTGATAGTCTAAGGGGGCAGAAGGGCCATATGTGCCAAGAGAGGTGGGGCGACATGCCCCGGGCTCCAGGAGGGCCGTCTGCTTCCAATGGGAAGGAGTCAGGGAAGGCTTCAGGGAGGAGACGGCTATTTAGCTGTGCCTTGTGGAGGAGAGACTGGCCTGTGCAAAGGCCTAGGGGCAGGAATGCTGGGGCTCCAGTGGAGAACTTGGCTGCTGAGTCAGGGACGCAAGTGTGGGGAGTGGAGAGAGCACCGGCAGGGCAGGAGTGCTGAGACGTCTGAACAGTGCAGAGAAGTACAGGGAAGGTGGAAGGAAGGGACAATTATGGTGATGATAACGGTAACAGTGATTGAGTGCCTACTGTGTGCCAGACACTGTATTCAGAACTTTACAGGCATCTCATGCAATCCTCACCACAACCCTATGTGGATGCTATAAGTATCCCCATCTTGTAGATGAGGAAACTGAGGCTCAGAGAGGTGAAATCTCTTGGCCAAGGCAATGCAGCTGTAAGTGGCGGGGAGGGAGTCAACCTCCCCATCTAATCCAGAGCCCACCCTCTCAACACCTCCTTACAAGAGACAGCACCTCCGAGTCCCCCTTTCCACACCAACACGGTGGTGACTGAAGGGGGATGCAGCTCGGGGAGTGGGACTTTCCCTGACTGAAAAGGGCATGGAGGGGACTTCCCTGGTGGTCCAGTGGTTAAGACTCCATGTTCCCAATGCAGGGGGCGCAGGTTCAATCACTGGTCAGGGAACTAGATCCCACATGCCACAACTAAAAAAGATCCCGCGTGCCGCAACTAAGACCCAGTGCACCCAAATAAATATTAAAAAAGAAAAGAAAAGGGCATGGGAGCCCCTGTGCACTGTGGAATTACAGAGAGCAAAGACTATGCACCAACAAACCATTCACCCCACACCCTGAACCCTGTCTCACTGAAGCCTCCTGAGTCACACTGTGAAGTAGACACTGTCACACAGCATCTTGGTGCTGAACACTCAGATGTCACCTACTGGGGGGAAGGCAAATCCAAGCACACGTGCTGCCTCTCACCTTCACCGGTTCCCACAGTAGACATCACCAATCAATCCCAGCGCTCTTTCCCTCCAAGCCCACAGGTAGCCTCAAGGCTTTATCATTAAGTCTTTAATAGTAGGTCCGTTAACATTGAAGAGGAAACCTGTTTGACAACCCTGATCTAAACCAACTCCCTCATTTTACAGTTGGCACTTTTAAGCGAAAGGGAGAGATTTCTGGCAAGTCACACAGCAGATTACTGGAGTCGCCCGAGTTCCCTGACGGCAGCTCCCCTCCGGTGCTCAGTTCCATGCCCTGAGCAGTAGCCTCTTGGGTTCCCAGAGGGGTTGGGCAGCTTAGGAAACCGCTGAAACCCAAACCCACAGAGCAAACCCTCTGCCTCCCAGTGACTGAGACCCCTGGGCCTCCTCCCCCCCTCATCCAGTAGCTTGCTGTGAAGGCTGGATGGTCAGAAAATCAATTTGGGAAAAGCTTGCTAAGCCGGCCTGTTGACATGGGGTTTATCCGACTCAGCCGCTGTTGATTAGGCTCTGGGCAAACTCCAGGGTGTCCCCGAAGCCTGGCCCAGCCCCTCTGGCAAGGTGAAAACCTCTGGATTCGAAAGTAAACTGGGCTCTCTGGGGGGGGCGGGGGGGCGGAGGTGGAGTCCCAAGGCTCATCGGAGGAGAAGACCCCTCCCAGCCTCACCCTCAACTAGCCACTCTGGGGGAGGGTTCTGTCCAGAGGGAGGGGTAGGGCCGTCGGGTCCACATCTCCAGCCATCCCTCTCCTGAGCCACTAGGGGGTGTCTCCACTCCCGGCCCTCACTCTCCGGTGATAGTGTCCCAGTTGGAGCTCTGGTTACACCCACCAGGCCTGTATGCTGGCACTCTGGGTGGGGAACGAGAGCCTAGGATGAGCTTTCTGCTCAGATCATCAGGGCCGCCCACTCCACCAGGGGAGCCCTGGCGCAGGCTGCATTCGCTCCTAAGAAGGGTCACCATCACCCACTCCGAGGCACCACAGGCTTGCCGAGCTTGGCACTAGTGGGCTGTGTCCCCCTCAGAGGGACGCTTTTTCCTGATTCCCATTAAGGCTCCCTCTAGGCCCTGGAGACCCTAATCACCCCCCCAGCTTGGGCTCAGACCCGCCCAAATGCTCTAGGTGTTCATTCAGTGAAGATTTATCGAGTGCCTCCTATATGGCAGGCACAGGAGTTATGGGGATGATTTAACAAGACAGTAAAGACGAAGGGCTTGCCACAGTGCCTAGCAGGCAGCAAGGCCCCGGCGTGTGCCAGCGTCTATTGGGAAGCCTGTGGGTTTGCTCCAAACACTCTGGCGCGGCTCAGCCAGTCGCCTGGCGCGGGGGCTGAAGGAGAGAAAGGCTGCCTGATCACTGCTCTCCCTTTGCAGGTGAACTTTCTCTAATGCCCTGTTTGCCCAGTTCTCCCTCCTGGCACCTTCTGGACTGTCAGGTGGTATTAAAACAACATGCATGAATATAAGCTGGAAACTGCCAGGCTGGAAGTGTGGGTGACATTTCAGCGGCTGTGCTTGGGGGCGCGTCTGCCTCTCCCGCCTTTCACAGGCCTCCAGAGTTCGCCCTGGGAGGGCCGCGTGGAGAGGACGCAGGTCTTCATAGCAGCCACAATAACCAGAGGTCCCACATACTGAGTCCTCAGTGGGTTCCAGGGACCGTGCTAAGCCCCGGGAGGGAAATTCCAGAACCACCTGCCTGGTCCCTTTGATCTCAGGGTCTGGCCCAAAGTAAGTGCTCTGGAAATGAGTGATAAGAAGAATAGCCAATAAGCCCTGAGCATTAACCTGAGTTCATTAATCCCGCACAAGAACCCAGTGGAGAAGTACCATCATTAGCCCATTTCACAGATGAAGGAGCAGATTTACAAGGAGGTTGAAGACTTGCTCAAGGGAACCTGGCTGGTGAGAAGCGCTCCCACCCACCATGCTGGGCCCCCAGGAGCTTGTCAACAGGGGCCTCTGTGAGCTCAAAAGCCTGCCATGTCTCAAGAGAAAGTTCTCAAGAGAATCCCTTAATCACGGTGACTCGGGTCATTAACCACCACTCACGGTTCTGCACACAGTTACTGAAGGTCTGCGGGCAGCCAGGAGCTGTGCCAGGGCTGGGGCTGTGATGGGAAACCCAGAAATGAACGCTGAGCGGTCAGACACGCAGTGTCCCGTGTCTTTGATGGGGTTGTTGGAAGCACTGTGGGAGCACAGAAAGGGGCAAATCCGCAGACCTAGGTGGTCAGGGAAGGCATCCCTGGGAGGAGGCCCCCTGTCCCTGCCCCTCTCCTCCTCCCGGGCCCCTTCCTTAGCTGCCGCCACCAAAGCTATTCTGTTCCGTCCCCAGCTTCACACTCGGTGAAGACCAAGTGTGGCCTCAGCAAATCCTGCCCAGACAACTTCTTTGCGTTTAAAATCACCAGCGGGGCTGCCAACGTCGTGGGCCCCTCCGTGTGCTTTGAAGGCCAAATGTAAGTTTCTGGCATTTCTTTTCTTTTCTTTCATTAATTCACTCATTAGCAAGTTCAGAGGCCTCAAGGGCGGGCCCTAGAGACCAGACCACACCTTCGACATGCTTCCTTTTACTCTGGGTGGGTGGGTCACACATGATAATAATCCTAACATCTTGCAAATCTGCCAGCACCTTGCTAGACGCCTTACAGCATCGTCTCCCTCAATCCCCCAGCATTCCTGGAGGTGGGGCGATAATCCTCCCCTTTGTAAAAATGAGGAAACTGAGGCTCAGACAGTGTTACCCAGCTAACCCTTGGTAGAGCCAGGATTTGAACTCAGGTCTCTCTGATAGCCAAGCTGCTGGGCTTCCTATGACGGGGGATGCCTAAGGGGAATGTTCAAGATCAAGGTCCAGGCATCAAAGCCCAGATGCAGCAGGTGCCAGGGCTTCTACCCAGGTGCAGGAGAAAGACTATATACCAGGCTTTCGAGGTAGTAAAGTCCCTGGGACAGCAAGTTCATCCTACAAAAGAAGCCAGAGACAGGTGTTTTAGTACGGATTCTGAACCTAGATCCAAATCATTTAGGCAAAACAAGGAAAGCTACTGGTTCACGTACCCAAAAGGCCAGAGGCAGTGGGCTCCAGCACCAGCTGAATCCAGGGGTTCAGACCAAGTCATCAGGGCTCCCTCTCACACTACCTTCAGCTCTGCTTTCCTCTGTCATTAGATTCGGTTTTCTCTACTGAAAATGGACTTCTTCATGTGGTGAAGGAGGGAGGCCACCAGCCGGGTTGACATAATAGCCCTGTCTAGCACCCCACTGGGAAGAGCTTTCCCATCTGAATTAACCCTGCAAAAGTCCCGGGGCTGGGGCTCATTGGCTGGCCTGGGTCACATGACCACACTGGCCCAATCACTGTGACCAGGGGCACAGGATACTGGCTTGTCCAGGCCTGGAGAGAGGTCAGTGCCGAGACCCTCCTGGCCTGAGATGGAGAAGTACACTTTTCCCAGGGATACAAGAGGATGGGGTATGGATGCTGGGCCGCAGGAACACAGCTGGGCTCCACTTGGGGATCCCAGAAGTGGCAGGACAGGACCAACTTTCCGGGCTCTGCCTTCCGCCTAGCCTGGGGACATGGGCTGACCCTGCCTCCAGCACCTCCGAGCCCCAGGCAGGGACCCTCCCTCTTCCCTGGGCAGACTGTTCTGGTCCAAACATGCCATGAGAGACTCCTCAGAGAATCCAGCCCACCGCTTGTTTCCAGGAGATAACAGATGGCCCAAATAATTCCGTGTGTTTCCTGATGCTTCGGCATCCCACCATGTGGGCCCTCGCGGAGTTCCAGAGTGTCCACTCCACACTCGGGACCAACTGTTGTATTTTGTTTTTCTTCTTTCTCTTCAGGATCATGAGTCCTGTGAAAAACAACGTGGGCAGAGGCCTGAACATCGCCCTGGTGAACGGTGAGTTGCCGATCCAACCCCCGCCGGCCCCCACCACGCTCTGAAGCCTGGCTGCCCTGTGGGAACAGGTCTAAAAGAGCTGGTCTGCCCTGCAGTCATGGCCAGGTCCCTGCCAGGTGCACCTATCTCAGGAGGATACGCTGCTCCTATGAAACGTGACCCCGTCTGGGCTTAAACCAGCACACATGAAACCACAGAGGACAACGTGAGGTTACAAGCTGAGAGCACGCCTTCATCCACTCATCCAGCAAAGACAGCAGCTACTGTGGGCCAGGCCCCGCATGGGGCTCTGGGGGTCACGGGTGAACCAGAAGGACAGACCCTGGCTTGACAAGCCCCTGTGGGCGCCCATGAAGTTCACGAAAAAATCAGAAGGTGGTGAGCACATATGAAGGAAAAGGAAACACAGCTCTGGGATCAGGACACAGAGCTGGCAGCGGAGGTAGTCGGGGGAGGAGGCTTCCAGAGGGAGGTGATGGTCAGCTGAGGCCTGAGGGATGGTAGGGGTTGACCAGGAGAAAAGAGGAAGGCTCCTTCCAGGCAGGGGCAACACTGTGCAGGGCGCAGGGAAGGGAAGAAGGAGGAGAGGTGCTTGGGGGTCCACACAGGCTCTCTCTGGCTATAACATAGAAGCAGGGTGGTGAGAGGTGAGGCTGGGGAACCAGCAGGGCCAGAGGATGAGGGGCTAAGTGTCTTGCTAAGAAGTGTGGACCTGAAGCAGAGCAAAATAGGGAGCCTTGGAAAGGCTTTGAGCAGGGGCTGAAGGCCCAGCCCTGCCTTCCTGAAACCTCCTTCTAGCTTGGAATAGGGAGGCTAGAGGCAGGGAGACCCAGGGAGGCCCACAGTCTCAGTAACCCTGTATCTCCAGCAGGTGATGAGCAGGAAGCCAACTGCAGGCCAAGCCAGGAACAGGGACATGTTTCAGGAGGGGGTAGGTTACAGGGGCCGAGAAGGACCAGGTGGTGTGGCCCCAGCCAAGCCCCTCCTGTCTGCCTTCAGCTCTTACATGATCTGGGGAACGGGGGCTATTTGCGTGGATCTAAGAGCTATTCCTGGGACAAAGGTCAGGGCAGATGGAAAAAGGGCACAATGGACACTCGGGAGAAAAAGGGTTCAAGCTTGTGTGCAGTGTGACCACACAACCACACTTAGGAAGTGACAGGGTAGGATTGGAACCCTGGCCATCTGCTCCTAGAGGACCCATTTCCCATCTGCCAAGAAAGCCTGCTGCGTCAGGGGAGAGGTCAAAGCCTGGAACAAAGGAGGAGCGTTGCCGGACAGGGGTCAGAGGACAGCTCTGGCCAACTACCTGGGAGTCCAGGAAGGGTGTGGGCCAGGAGGGGCAGGAAGCTGAGGGGGGGCCTCTCCTCCTCGAGAGTCTAGAGAAGGAGAGGGAGGCCTGAGTCCCCCTGCTGCTGGCCCCTTCCAGACGGTCTCAGAGCACCTCCGGCACGCCAGGCCCCAGGAGACTGTAGCAGCCTCACTTACATCAACTGTCCCACCCAGTCTCCACTCACCGCACAGTGGGGAGGGCAGGGAAGGGCTCCAGCTGCAGCCAACCTGGCTGAAAGCTGCTGGGCTTCTCTTCCCCCAAATGGACCACTGTGGGAGAAAACGCCTAATATTCTCCCAGGAGATGGGCTCAGACAGAGGCCTCCTTCCCCGTCTCTCGCAAAGCCCAAAGATAAAAACAACCGCTGATAACACGGAGAGCTCATATTTATTGAGCACTTACTGTGTGCTAGCTATTTCACTGATCGTCATCACGATGCTAGAAGGCAGCTATGCTCAGTCCCTGTTCTCCAGGTAAAAAAAATGGGGGCTCAGAGAGGCTGGGCAACTTGCCCAGGATACACAGCCAATAGAATCATCTAGATTTGAACCTGGCTCTGGCTGACTCCAGGTCTTAATCACTCAGCGAATCTACCCGCTAGACTAGAAATGTGTCCAAGCACATGCGCAGCGCCTACCGCATGCATGCCAGCTGTGGAAAGTCTAACAAATCACTCTCAGGGCCTCAGGGTCCTCATCTACATAACGAGCCAGAACAACAAAAGGATTGCTACTTCTCAACCTTTTAGATGGCAGGGATTCCTCTGAGAAATTGTTCAAACTACACCTCCTCCGCCCCCCACCCCACCCCCGGTTCCAGAAAAATCTGCAAATGCACAGGATCACAAAAGTAGTTTCACCGGCCTCATAGATTCCTTCCCAAGGGCCCCAGGTAAAGTGTCTGGACGGGCTTGGACACTAGTGGTTCCAAGAATTCACGGGGGACTGCAATGAGAGCCTGCTCCCACCCCGCAGGAGAGCTGCCACTACCCAGGCCCCTGTCGCCACCCTCTTATCAAATCTACCAGCTGAATTAGGGGGAGGGGGCAGCGAAGGTGAAACTAGAGCTGCCATCCCCTCTGCAACACCCCCATCCAGTGGCCAAAGGTAAGAATTGCAATTTTCCTCCAGAACACCTGATACCCTGTAGGATTTGTGCGCCTTGCAAAGCCCACCAAGGCAATCCAGATTACTGGACTCCGGACACTGAGTACACTTCAGCCCACTGAAAATCCCTTTGCCTTAAAGAGTTGGGGCACTCAAATTGCAGAGTTCCTGTTTAGGTGAGAATAGTAATGATGGTTGTAGTTTTTTTAGTTACTATTTTATAGGTAAGATTTATCTCACAGGCATATATTTTAAATACATCTCATTTAGTTTTTTAAATACATCTCATTTAGTTCCCACAGCCCATGGTACAGATGCAAAAATTGAGGTCAAATGCTAAGTCGTACATTAGGAAGTGGCAGGGCAGAACACAAACCCAGACTGGTTGGATTCCATTCAGTTCCAGAGACCCTGCACCGTTATGTGCTAGTACCTCTCAGATCAGCCCAATGGTTACTGGGCACCTAATTTAGCCCTGCATGCTTTCTACAGGACCTAATTTTGTTCCACTATTATTCTATTCTGTTTTTAGACCTTAGACTACAGAGTAGCCACTCTCCACAACATGAAAGACAGAATGACGTGCTACAGCAAATAATGGTTCTGCTCTCTTATCCCTTAGGAACCACGGGAAAGGTGATGACACAGAAATATTTCGACATGTACTCTGGAGGTAGGCACCACTGTTGGCACTGAAGTCGAGGGCGGGCTGAGCTCCTTCCTGTGGCAAGAGGCTATCTGGGTACCAGGGAGTTTGGCTCTTGTTTCCAGGGACCCAATCAGAAAGTGGCACAGTGCGGGGGGGCCGTCCTGCTGCCTTTGAAACTCCTTTCTGCTGTCTTACTGCGCACTCCCTGATGCAGATCCTGAGGCAAGGATTCAAGTGCGGTGTTTATTTGGGAGGAGGTGATCTCAGGGAATGTCAGTAGGGAGTGGGGGAGTGAGCCGGGGAAAGGAAGGCAGCCAGCGCAGAGCGTTACGGAGCCACGATCGCTGCGGGGAGCCAGTGTAGAACATGTGCCCCTGAGACACCCCGAGGGGCAAGGAAGCCGCGGTGCTCCTACCCCTATTCCTTGGCACTTCCCATGCTTCTGGCCTGCCCCAGGGTACAAAGGAGGATGTGGAGGCCGGAGAAGACCTTCAGGCAAAGAAATGCTGCTGCTGGCAGTGGGAGGCCAGGCACGTGTGCACTGAAATGCTGAGGACGAGGGAATGTGGCCCAGTTTGCCTCTCTAACCTAGACATGCTTTCTGAGCTGCTCTGTACCCATGGGCACCCCTTACTCAGGAAGTCACTTTCTCCTTGTCCTTAGCACGGCCCAGCAACAGGGCACCGACTCACCTGGGCTGGAGGCCCGGATACCTAAGTCCCCCCCAGCAGCTTGCTCCCCGACAGGCCGCCCGGCAAAGCTGTGGGTGGAGGCGGGACTCTCACGCAGGCTTGAGACATCTTCCAAAATGTGGTGGAATCAGTCCCGGGCCCAATATGCCACTTGCTGCCCAGCTGGCAACCCAGCCCCCCACCAACACAGGAGCCTCAGCAGGAGCAAAAAAGCAGCAGGGTGGCCCCTTGCAGGCAGCAGAGGTCTGGGCCCTGCAAGGACTGGCTTCCGCCAGGATAGATGAACTGAGCTCAGCCTCCTTCTCGGCGCCCGGCTCGACTCAGTATCCCTCTGTGTCCCCGCGATCACAGGGCCAGCTCTGGGCTCGGGCATTAAGGGCGCTGAGCATGAGACCCCTCACCCCAGAAGCTCCTTGCAGAATGGAAGGGCCCTCCTGCTGCCAATCAGCTGTTTTCTTCTATCCTCAATCTCCCACCTTTGCCTCCGTCTCCAGGGAAAACCTACCTCACTGCACCCACCTAAATATGTGAGCCCAGAAGGGGAGAAATCACCAAGCAGCAGACAGCAGGAAGCCCTCTTGGCTTTACAGACAAAGGAGGGGCTGAAATGGGGGAAATGGAAGTCTGCCGCCCAGTAGTCACAGCGGGGGAAGGTGTTCAGAAGGTGACCGGTGACAGCATCCTTAGAGACAGGAGCCGGGAATGTGTCTTGGGCTCAGGGCTTCCCACGATGGCCGTCTTCCAGCCGAGTCCCACCTCACAGATAGGGTCTGCAGGGCCAGAGGACGTGCTCACCTGGAGCCTGCATCAGGGCCCGTGCAGACCTCTTCCAGGTGTGCCCCCCATGCTACAGACACACCCATAGGACTGAGGGGTGGCCAGGGGACGGCTGCTGCTGGAGGAGAGGGTGGCAATGACAGAGCTTGGACAGGCAGGGTGGGTGTCCACATGCAGGCATGCATAGCCCCTCCTGGTACAGGACAGAGCTGGAGACGGGTGAGGAGAGAGCGGAACAGGCCATGGGCCGAGGGCAGGGACCTTCATTTGTTCTCTGTCCAGGGTGGCCTGGGACCAGGTTATGGTAAAGGTCATCTCTGGAGTCAGAGATTTCAGGTTGGGTGACCTGAGGCAGGTGACATCTCTTGAGCCTCGGTTTTGTCATCTATAAAATAGAGGTAGCCATAGACCTCCACTTCATAAGCTGGATGTGAGAATTAAATGATAACCTGCAATAATCAGGGGGAGGGACCCAGCCTGGCTGGGGGAGGAGCCCAGGGAAGCTTTATCTCCCTTCCCTCTTCCCTCACTCCATCCATGTGATTCAGAAGCAAGGAGGTCATCTGTCAAAACGAAAAGGGAAAAAAATAAAAAGATAAACCAAGTTTTATAATGCCTTATCATAAACTTGGATGTAACCATGGTTGATGGGGAACAGGAAACAGAAGCCTTTTGAGAATAAGTCGCCCCTTCCCACAGAAGACGAAAAAAAAGAAGATGACTTTTCGAAGTGAGAAGATAGTTATCAGAAGGTACACTTCATCTTTTCCAAACATCCACTGTCCATTCCAGACAAGAGCCAGCTCTTGCTGTCTGCTGACAGCTCAAACCAATTGATGGTACTTTCAGAGCTCCCACTTTTTGTCTCAAGAGTTCAAGGGCTGCTGTGGTCATTGACTGGAGGTCTCCGTGTTACAGAGCAAGTTGGTGGCTGGCCTTGCTTGGGGGACTCGATTTTTCCTCTGAATTCAAGGGATACCCACAGAATAGTAAGAATCAGGGCAGCTTCATGGGCACGCAGGCTGTGAGCAGGAAAGTCACACAGGGCCCCTTGCTTAGAAGAAACTTGATTTGATGCTCTGCCTTCACCATCTTGAAATTATTAATAATTTTTCAACAAAAGGCCCACGTTTTCATTTTGCACTGGGCCCTGAAAATTATGTAGCCGATCCTGCTAATAATTGTAATTCTGTTATAACGCACTTACTGCAAGCCCAGAGTCATCGTCACATTTGAGCTTTACAGAAATGCTCTGAGCAGGGCTATTAATTATTCTCCTTTGACAGATGTAGCCCCTGCTTTGCCCACCAGGCCAATCTTGCCCATACTTCCTCCACTGTTCAAGAGCCCTCTGTATAAGTTATGCCTTATCCAGAGTACTATTTGCACTGTTTGTGTGTTCCTTTATATCAGCTCATTCACTTTTTTTTAACCTAACTAAATATATCTTAAAAGGAAATTATATCACTGCCCTAAGTAGAAAGCCATTATCTTTTTTTATGCATGGAAGGTGACCGTAAAAATGAGCACAACAGAAAAAAAATCAGTGTCGTTGAGGCAAGATGCACGCTGATGCCTCCCCAGGTGCTGTCCCCAGACCTGCTCTGTGTTCAATCCAGAGATCTCTCAAGTGCAGGCAGGCGTTAGAGATGAGAATGGAGCCTTGCTCCTTGACATAAGCTGGAGAGTTGTGGAAGCCCCATGTTCTCTCTCAGTGGCCCGAGTTGCCCGGTGGGTGTACCCTCTAAAGTCAGCACAGACAGGCTGGGTGCATCTTAAGCAGTGTAGAAGGGGCAGCGGAGCTCCTGAGAGGTGACTGTGCTCGGTCCCCTGGGGGGGTAGACCTTCAAGGGCCCTTACGCCATGGTTCTTACCCCAGCTGCAGAGCAAAATCGCCTGGGAGACTTTCAAATTCCAGAACCCACCCCAGACCAGCTGAATGAGGATGCCCTCACCCTGTGCAGATGGAGCTCAGTGTCAGGCTGCCCAGGCATTCCTGGATCGATAGGGCCATAGGAGAGGATGAGACTGACCAGCAGTCTTTCGCCTAAATGACCAGCACGTCGTTTTTCCTTCCTCCCACAGATGCTAACCTCCTGGTGAAATTCCTTAAAGAAATTCCAGAGGGCACGCTGGTGCTGGTGGCCTCCTACGATGACCCGGGGACCAAGTAAGTGGGAACCTCTGCCTGCCAGGCCACGGGGAGAAGCGAATCAAAGACCTCCAAACTGCAGGTCCTTTTCCTCCTATCCTGCTGGCTCCAGCTTCTGACACCTTCTCCTAAGGAACCAAGCAGACAAGCGCACAAAGAGATGTTCTGGGGGGTTCATCACAGCCGTGGTCACAAGAGTGAAAAACTGGACATACTCTCCCTGTGCAGTGATAGCGAACTGGTGACAGAAATCATGATATATGGCGATATAGGATGTATTATTATATATACATAAAAGAGGATATACTGCATCAAAAATGCCGATGTAGAAAATATTTAAGGACACGAAAGAATGTTCACCCTTTAGCATTAAGTTAAAAAAAGGAAAAAAAGAAGCAGTTTACAAAAGAATTGGTATAATCCCACAGTGCACGAGGGGAAAAAGGCATGAAGGAAATATACTAAAATTTTACAATGATTATGTCAAGGGGGGTGAAACTAAGTAATTTTTAGTTACTTTGTAAAGTTCCATATTTTCCAAGTGAACATCTATTATATTTGCAAAAAGAAGCAAAACCGTTGTAACGCTTTGCCAGCCCCTCGGATTGGCTTTCGGAGAAGCATCCTGGCCACTCTGCCCTGTTTCTCCTGAGCTCGGGAGAGGCTGCTGCCCTCTCTGGAGGAGGGGTGGAGGGTGAGTCAAGGGCCTGAGACGCTCCCTCTTCTCCTATCCCGAGCTCACGGTCCTCTCTGGTCCCCTGCAGGATGAATGATGAAATCAGGAATCTCTTCTCCAACTTGGGCAGCACCTATGCAAAGCAGCTGGGCTTCCGGGACAGCTGGGTCTTCTTGGGGGCCAGAGACCTCAACAGTAAAAGCCCCTTTGAGGAGGTGAGTTCCTCGCAGCCTCCCTGTCCCAGTGAAGGAGGGGATGGGAGTTGTGGGGGACAATGCCAGGAATGGACAGACAAGGGCTGGGGTGGCTTGGAAAGGACACATGGAGCAATGTGAGGAGGGCTACCCAGCGGTCGTCCACCCCGGAGATCAGGGCGGCCTGATTGGCTAATCCCCCAGCAGGAAGCAGCCTTGACCAGGTGGGTCATATATAAATACATAGATACATAGGTAAGTACCAAAAAGGAGAAGGAAAAAGATAAAAACATAAAAAGGATGAAAGGAAATTAAGGCATGGAGGAAAGGGAAAGGAATGTAGAGGTGAAACTCGCATGATGGGGCAGGGGGAGAGTCCAGAGCAGGGAGTGGGATGCCCAGCTTCTGGTCCCCGCTGCGATCCCCTCCTTCCCCCCTGCCTCAGTCTCCCCACCTGTAAAGGGGCAGGTTTGTGCCAGGGGAGCCCCAAGTTCCCTTCTAAGTTCCCTTGGAGAGGGTGAACTTGCACCAAGAAGGGGACACAGGAGGGCCCCCCTGAGTACACGGAGGGAGTTAGGAGGGGTCCATGATCTGGCTACAGTCACTACCCAGGGGTGGCCCAAGCAAAGTGCACCTGGGAGGCATCCAGAGGTGGGGTTTGAGGAGCCCTCACAGGAGGAAGGGAGAGTCAATGACTGTTGGGGGCCCCAAGGAAATGCTGCACCTTCTCCCCTGCACCCCTTGCAGGACAATCGCCATGTGTGCATCCCCAGCTCAGAGCAATTCCAAAACCTGGGAGAACTGGCCAGGCTTCCCCAGCATGAAGTTGGCCAGTCTCTGGTGGTAAGAACGTTCAGCTCTGCCCAGATCCAAGACGGGAAGCTAAGAGTCAATGATTCAGACATATATAGAACCAGTGTGGAAAGGGAACTCTGCCCTGGAGGCAATGGGGAGCCATGGTAGGTTTAAGCGGGAGAGTAAACAGATCAGATTGATAACAAGAAAGACTAGTATTCAGCAAGTGCTTGCTCTGTGCAGGCGCAGCTGAGCAAATGACTTGCAGGATCTTATTTAACCCACAACAAGGTAGGTGCAATGAGCATCCATCCCATCTCACAGACAAGGATCCAGAGCCTTGGAGAAGTTTTAACCCGCTTGCTCAGTGATAGGGATGCATTTCTCATCCAGGTCTGCAGTTTCCCCAAGGACTTCCTGTCCTCATACTTTTAGAATGGCCTTCCTGCCTGTGCATGGAGAGCACTGTGAAAGGGGCACAAGTCAGAAGGCAGGGAGGAAGCCAATGCGATAATCAGACGAGACCCAGCAGCCTGGAGGGGGAGGGGCTGTGGGAGGCAGAAAAGGGACAGTCAAGAAGCCTCGTGCTGAGATCCAGGGAGGTGGGGGTGAGGCTAGAGTGGGCTGCAAGGGGGTTTGCCTTGTCTGGAAAATGCTGACCTGGTTTGTATGTGTGTGTTTCCAAGAGAATATATTCAGGTAATTAGAAATTACTTTTAAAAAGTAAGGAACAGGGCTTCCTGGTAGCACACTGGTTGAGAATCTGCCTGCCAATGCAGGGGACACAGGTTTGAACTCTGGTCCGGGAAGATCCCACATGCCACAGAACAACTAAGCCCGTGCACCAGAACTACTGAGCCTGTGCTCTAGAGCCCGCGAGCCACAACTACTGAGCCTATGCTCTAGAGCCCACGAGCCACAACTACTGAGCCCACATGCCGCAACTACTGAAGCCCGCGCGCCTAGAGCCCGTGCTCTGCAACAAGAGAAGCCACTGCGATGAGAAGCCCACACACTGCAACGAAGAGTAGCCCCCGCTCACCACAACTAGAGAAAGCCCACGTGCAGCAGTGAAGACCCAACGCAGCCAAAAATAATAATTTTTTTTTAAAAAGTAAGGAATAGTGCAAAGTAGCTTGTGCTAAAGGAGAAAAGGAGAGGACCCTCTGTTTATACTCTCTGGGTGAAGGACACAGGGGCAGGGGCCTGGGGCTCCAGAATGTCGCTTTGGAAGGTGTCAGGGGCAGGACTCTCTAGGAAGAGGCAGGGCGGGCGCTGTTCTTCCTTAAAGCGCAGCTTCCAGCCCCAACAAAACTGGGCCAATTACAGCAGAGAGGAGCACGTAAGTAGAGAAGAGTCGGCACCACCTTTTTTCTGGTGTCTGATCAGCTGACTGCATCCCATCACCCCAAAATGAACCAAAGACCCCCAACGTGATTAACACCATTCTGTCTTTTGTTCTCCCACATGGGAAACAGGGTTTCAGAGAAGCAGCATCTAGAATTTATTTTTCCTTCCTAAGGGTTAGCCACAGTTATCCCACCTGTAGATTTTATCATTTACATTCTTTTTTCCATAAATTAAACCTGAGCATTTTAAACACAATCTTAACTGATTTTATTCTCTTTATTTATTATTAATATTAATTAATATTACACACTGGTTCCACGACTTAGCAACTGGATAGCCATAGGCAGTTACTTTGGTTCTCTGTGCCTCAGTTTCCCCATCTGTAAGGTGAGATGATAACAGCGAGCAGTTCTTAGGGCTATTGTGAGGATTAATTACAGAAGGTGCTTTGTGCCTGGCATAGAGCAAGCATTCACGATTTGCTAGAATGCTTCCTTTTTCTATTGAAGTATAGTTGATTTACAATGTTGTGTCAAGTTCTGCTGTACAGCAAAGTGTTTCAGTTATACATATACATTCTATACCTTCTTTTTTGAATATTCTTTACCATTATGGTTTATCACAGAATATTGAATATAGTTCCCTGTGCTACACAGTAGGACCTTGCTGTTTATCCATGCGACATATAATAGTTTGCAGCTAGGATGCTTCTTTTTCTTCTTCTTATTATTATCATTTGGGACGTCCTAGAGGGGCTAAAGCTCTTCAAGCACCACTCCCCACATACTTGGTACCAGCGCCCCTGTCCAGGGCATGACAGGCAGTGACTAGGCTCTGATCTCATCTCTGAAACCTTGGGCAAGTTACCCTCCCCAGCCTCAGTTTACCCATTTGTGAAATGGGCTGGAAATATCCAACCCTCCCATGCCCCTCATGGGGCAGTGGCGAGGATGAAGTGAAGCCACTTAGGTTTTAAAGCACAACGCAAATGCAGGCGTGAGTCCTAACATTGTCAGTGTCTCTCTTCTGTCTCTCTAGTTCTTAAAGAACAACCCAGACGTGAATAAATACGACGGCTGGCCGGAGCTGCTGGAGCTGGAGGGCTGTGTGCCCCAGAAGGTATATTAGGGCGGCCGTGGCTCTTCCTGGGCCAGGGCCCGAGGATGCTCCTGCCTGACTTAGGAGTCAGAGCCCAGGCTCACTGCGAGCCGGACTGACAGGAGGAGACGGCCAGCAGAGGAGGAGAGGGAAGAGGGAACGGAAGTGTGGAACGTGCTGAGGGTCCTCCAGTACCCTGCACGCTTCCCCCGTTGGAAACAAAGCCCCCCCTGGGTGGAGGCGTCCTACCCGGAGGTGGCCAGCCTCAGAGGGTCCTTCCGGAGCCGGCTGTCTGTGGAGAGAACAGGTGTGCTTTCCTTCAGGGACTGCTGACTGTGGCTCCCAAGGAAGGACAGGACGGACTGCCTGCACCTGAGCACAATTAAATTTTATTTTTGATGATTTTGAACAAACTTTCCCACCCCTTGATGTGCAGCATTTCCCCTGGGGTGGTCTAGACTGAGTCTGCTCGGCCACAAGTTCCAACAGGTTGGTGACGGCTTCAAGCACCTGGTTAAGCAGCTAGAAAGGAGGTCGGCTCCGCAGGGATTACTTTTAGGTGTGAAAGAATCCTTGGCTCCCAGTGTGAGGTGTAAGATCCACAGGAACAGAGACAGCCAGAGGACCAGACACGGAGAACACTGTCTTCACCTGCTGTTTGAGTGAGAGCTGGAGAAAATCCAGATCTGGAGAGGGGGAAGCAAGGAGATCTGAGAAAGGCTGCAAGGAACAGCCAGACCGAAAGGCTTCGGGGAAAACATCCCGGCTGTCTCTGTGTGGGTTCCCTCGGGAGCAGCCCCGAGATAAGGATTCGAGTACAGGTTGTTTATTTGGGAAGTGTTTCTAGAAAACACCCATGGCAGATGGGAAAGTAAGACAAGAAAGAGAAGGCAGCCAAGAAGGGGTGTGTTGTCGACTCAGCTACTGCTGGGGGTGAGTGGAACTTAATCCCACGGGAAAACCTTAGGAATCGGTGTAGGACACACACCTCAGAGATCTCAGTCAGAGGTGAGGGAGCTGGGGTACTTATACACCAACTCCCATCGTCCATCGTTGGAGGGCTGCTGGTGTTGGGGCTGATGTGAATTCCTGGGCCCTTCTGGTCTGACCTGTGTGGGAAAGAGCGGCCTTCTTGCCTTTGCAGAGAGTCCTTGGCCGAGAGATGTCAATACCAGCTGCTGGAGGCCACTGAAGTGGTGAGGCCCAAGGGATATGGTGCTAAGACCCAGCCTGGGGTCTCTGAGAAGGGCGGGGGGCAGGGGGCAGACCAAATCCTGGGAGGGGGCATGGGAGCAGAAAACACCGGTACTCGGGCTCCTGGAGTGTGTACCAGGGAGACTGCAAGGCTCGTGGAGAAGATGCCCAGGCCCCAAGGGCAAACTCCCCAAGCAGGGGGACAGCAGAAGCTGAAGCCCTGTGCACTCCGCTGGCGTGAGGCTCACAGTTACCAAGCTCTGGGGACAGGCAGGGCTTCAAATGGGCCGAGAGGGCCTGGGGTAGAGAAGGACAGAGTGTGGGAACCTGTGACAGGGGCCATGGCAGGCTGGGGCAGGGGCTGCAGTCGTGATCCATGATCACGGCTGGCTCAGAGGGCCTTGAGCAGGCTTGACTGAGGAAGTCAGCAGAAGGCGCCCAGCCAGCCACCTGCCGGTTCCATAGCCCCTCCTCCCCCAAGCACAGTTGCTCACTCTCAGGGGAGAGTTTGCTGGCAGCCCCCCCAACCACTTACACAGACACCCACATCCATGTACCGCTTGACAGCACTGGGAGCAAGTGGATTTGCTCCGATCCTCCCTTTTTGTTCCAAGTGGCAGGACCCTCCTCCCACACCTGACGTGCTGACAGAGGGCTGCCCCTGAACCCCAGTGCCCTTCCTTCCTGACCCCCAGGACCAATTGGTCAATCCTGGGGTGGGGGGAGGGTGCTTCTGAAGGCCCTGGACCCTGACCAAGCCCCTCAGTTTCTCTTAGCTGACTCACTTCCATTCTAATGGGTAGTTACACCTCGCAGGCAGCATGGCCGGACAGAAAGGCTGGCCCGGCTCTGAGCACTGGCCCTGCTACCCGCTAGCTGAACACGAGCAGGTCACGTCACCTCTCTGAGCCACAGTTCTCCTTTGAGAAATGCGGGGAGGGTATCAGTCTCTCAGGGGCTTGTGGACATTAAATAAGATAAAATAGCCACATCACCAGAAGTCAAAGAAGAAAATATGTATATAAGATGTTTGGGAAAACATCTGGCCAGATACCCTCTCTGGGGATGAAGGTGCAGGCAGTGTCCATGATTACCATACACGACTTCTGTATTTTGGATTTTTTTTCTTTAAAACAAGCAAAAATACCTTATAAAATTAAAAGAGAACCAAAAAGACTGCTAAAGTGAGTTCATAGCCAGGAACAGGGCTAGGCAGAGCTCTCAGCAGGGGCCACTCTTTAAAAAGGACCACCTGGTTGTGGTACTTTTTTAGAAGCTGCATTGCACAACACTTCAAAGAAGGAAGAAAATGTCAATGGGGGGGAGCTTCCCTGGTGGCGCAGTGGTTAAGACTCTGCACTCCCAATGCAGGGGGCCCAGGTTTGATTCCTGGTCAGAGAACTAGATCCCACCTGCATGCCACAACTAAGAGTTCACATGCCACAACTAAGAAGCCAGCAAGTTGCAACTGAGAGTCTGCATGCAGCAACTAAAAAAGATCCAGCATGCCACAACTAACGAGCCCACATGCCGCAACTAAGGAGCCCGTGTGCCACAACTAAGGATATGGCAAGCTGCAACTAAGGACCTCGCCAGCCACAACTAAGACCCAGGCAACAAATAAATAAATAAAATAAATATTAAAAGAAAAGAAAACGTCAACAGGATGAATCAGGGAATCGGGGAAGGGTCTCCTGGAGACGGGGAGCTTGGAAGGGCAGCACAGCGAGAAGGTTGGTGCCCCACCCATGTCCTCTCTCCCAGCTTGTGCTGAGACTGGTCAGTCTGCACTCTTCTTGGGAGAACTGCTCTTGGGCTCCTTGAAACTTCTTTGCTCCCAGGTGCAAAGAAGAGAGGGCAGGGGGCTTCCCTGGTGGCGCAGTGGTTGGGAATCCACCTGCCAATGCAGGGCACATGGGTTCGATCCCTGGCCTGGGAAGATCCCACATGCCCTGGAGTAACTAAGCCCGTGCGCCACAACTACTGAGCCTGCGCTCTAGAGCCTGTGTGCCACAACTACTGAAGCCCGCAAGCCTGGAGCCTGTGTTCCGCAACAAGAGAAGCCACCACAATGAGAAGCCTGCGCACTGCAACGAAGAGTAGCCCCTGCTCGCCACAAATAGAGAAAAGCCCGCGTGTAGCAAGGAAGACCAACGCAGCCAAAAATAAATTAATTAATTAAAAAAAAAAAAAAAAAAGAAGAGAGGCCAGGAAGTGCCAGAGTTCACATCAGCCCGGGATGGTCCATAGCTAATGACTGCCTGGCTGGGAATGTGAAAGCCCAGCTTCTGGTCTTGGGGCAGGATAACCATGAGGCGTAATTTATACTCCAGAGTTCCCTGTGGACTCAAATTGAAGCTGGGACTTTGCCTGGAAGCGTCCCTTTGCTCAGTTGCTTCCACTTCCCCATCCTCTGCTCCCCCACTCCCTTACCTGTGTCCCCCCAGGGGCCAGTCCTTAATAAATCACCTGCACGAGATCCTCATCCCAAACTCAGCTTCTGGGGGACCAATGCTAGGAGAGGCAGTGGGCGTGGCCAGCTGGATGGGACTGAGCACAGGCCTGGACTGAGAGACAAGACCACCCTGCCTGCAGGCAATGTCCTTAAACGTCACTTCTCGAGGCCACCCCGGGCCTCGCTGGGGCGGGCATCACAAAGTGGCAAACACCTGTCAGACTCTCAACGTCATCTCAGGGCACTGTGGCCACTGTAGGGACCCCCAGGTCAGTTCGAGATTGGGACAGGACAGAGAGTCCAAAAACAACAGCTGTAGAGAGTTGAGTCTGTAACGCTGAGTCTATTACCCACTAAGAGTCAGTTTCCTCGCTCAGCCAAAAGTTATTGCTCACCTGCTATGTGTCAGGAACTGGGTACTTACTGGGGATACCTTGGTGAAGAAAACCAGGCACGGCTCCTGCTCGTAGCCTAGGAGGCACACAGATCAAGAGGCAATATGGCTTGATAAGGACTATGTTGGGGGAAAGATTGCAGGAGCAGGGAAGGCACCCTGGAGGAGGCAGCAACAACGGTGCGGCTTGGGGTGTGTCAGAAGTCACCAGGCAGAGGGGAGGGAGGGGTGTGCAGGTGAAGCAAGAGCATGAACCAGGCCTGCAAGGGGCAGAGGGTGGGACCCAAGGGCTGAGCGGCAGAGCTGAGAGCCCAAAGGGCCCGTGGGCTTGGCCAAAGTGTCTCAGACTTTGCCCAGGAGCCCTGGGGACACAGTGAGAGATTTAAGCTGGGGTCGACATGATCGGATATGCTGTTTTTAAGAAATTCCTCCTGGATGATGTATGGAGAAGGGAGTGGAGGCAGGAAGGCCAGTGAGGAAGCTGCTGTATCATCCAGGTAGAGAGGGTGGTGGCTTGGCCAGGAGACAGGATGGAAAAAGGGGACCAGTCTCAGGGCTATTCAGGAAATAAAACGGACAAGACTTGGGGACTGACTTTCTCATCATCGGGGTGGACAAGCCTTCAGGAATCTCTGCAAGGTACTCATGACCTCGGAATTTGGGTCTTATATTTCCCTACCCCCTGCCCACCAACATGCCACTGCTCTCCCGCCGGAGTGAGGATGGGGCCGTGAGGGGAGGGGGTGTATCTGTTCCCTAAGCCACAGAGAGGTCTTTCCAGTAGCTGTAATTCTGATCCCCGCCAGTAGGTGGCAGCCCAAGCTAGAAAGGGAAGGGTGGTAAGGTTTCCCTGCGGTCACCCAGTTCTTGGGTAAGGTGTTGTGCTTAGTGGACTGGTTACCTGGGACTTACCAATGGGCAGTGGACTTAACACCACTATCATTAGCAGCGTCATAATAGTAGTACCTGACTTCTATGGAGAATTGCTCTTGTCCAAATATGC